ACAGAAGATACAGAAGTACAGTCCTTTGGCTCATAAATGTTATACAAGTCTACAGGAAACATCAAAGGACTGAAACATAAATTGAAATATTTATAATAATATAATATTGTGTTTGACACAAATTACAGGAAAATTCGCCTAAGAAGTTGTGTAGAACAGTGGCTGGCAAATGTAGAGAAAAGCATGTTTGAAATACTGAAAAAGTAAGTAGAGTCTGAGTGAAATACAAAAATTGCATACTATACATATGAATAAGTATACACATGAATTTGGCCAACTCTAATTCAAGTGAGACACACCCCAAGGAATCTCTTATAAAGTAGGTTTACACAGAGGATTCATGCTGACTAAATAGAAAAATAATCATTTCCAATCCTGCTATCAGTCTGTGCATGCGACTGTGGACAGCCTTCTGATGGCTTGTCTATCTGAGACACTCCCTCCACCTCTGCCACCTTCAGAGGGTCTGGTGGGCAGGACCCTAGTCACTCTTTACATTTATGCACTACTTCTACTTCCTGGAACTGCTGACTTGCTTTGTTCTTTTAGTGTTATTTGTATATGGTAATCTGTCATGAACGTCTACTTTTGGTGAAGGAGGTATCTCAGAGTGTGACCTTTTAAAACTAATTTAGCTGGCACAGTTTTATTCCACTTCTGATTATTTATTGCTCTTTAAAGAAAGGCTGCTATTATTTGCAAGCACAGCAGACTGCCACATAGCCCTGCTAGCTCCACCTTGCCCAGATCTCATCAGCAAGGTAGTATGACAAGGACCAGATGTCATCTTACCTGTAGGAAGGGATTGGTGTGTCATGACACTGTAGTGGTTGATACACTGTGTTAACTTGAGGAATTAAAAGCTTCACTAAAGGGGCTTAGCAATTCTACATCCTAGGGTGTGGAGGCCCCACCCTAGAATGACTCATCACTCAAAGGATATAAAATGGAAGTGAGAAAGGATGGAGAATTCTACTTCCTCAGAGGAGCTCTGGTCTTCACAGTAGGCATGGAGAGAACAAAGAGAGGAGGTTTGCTAGCCTCTGCCACAGCCACTGCTGTTCTCTTTGCTCTTTGCTATTTTCCTCTACAGAAATGGTTGTCCTCTGCTATGTGCAGCTCTGCCTTGGAGCCAGCCAAGTATGGGCTGAAACCTGCAGTAACTGTGAGCTAAATAACCCTTTCCTTCCTTCATTTTGGGTGTTGTGTATTTTGTCCCAGAAATGAGTAAAAAGTAACCAAGACAGACCCCAAGGCATTACTGCATAGAACATATACACATAATATATGTATCTATATATTTATAACAGATTCAACATATAATAAATAGTATGCATATATGCAGTATATAACATAAAATAATAAATAAAACAACATATTGTATAATAATAAAATTATAGAATGATTAAATTAAGCCAGTTAACACATTCGGTATTTTATATACTTGTTAATATGGGATTGTAGGGTGTGGGCAGCTCTCCATTAGGTTAATTTGATCTTAGCAAAAGAAGCTTTAGTTTAGCCTTCTCCACCTTTGTCAAGATGCTGTCATTCCTTTCCCACCTTAGTTTAGATGTTGTAACTCCTTCACTCTTTCCTCACCCTTGTTAACATGTTGTAAATATAGCGATAAAAGAAAAAGAGAACTAATCACAAAGAAGAATCCCATTGCCATGGAAACCAAGAAGATATTTAAGCAGAGACAAAACTAAGAACAAGGCTGGATGTGTTTGTAATCTGTAAGGATGGGGAAGCATGTTCAGACACCTGCCAGACATTTAAGATCTATAACCCAGATAGGCCAAATAGCTCAGCCGATTAAAGCACCTGCCTAGGCAGACACAGTGGCCAGGGGTTTGATCCCTGGCCTGCCCTGCCAGCCTTGCCCCCCAGGGTGCACTGGAGATGGCAAATGAGACTGGGCATGGTGGTGGTGCCTGTAATCCCCAGCGCTTGAGAGGCTGAAAACAGGCAGATCACTACGAGTCCGATCTATGTAGTGAGACCCTGTACACTAAAATAAAACCTATAGCCCTGGAAGGGTTTGATGGCTGCCTTTGTTAATAAACTGTTTTTTCCAATTTTCAGTCTGACATGGAAAAAAATTTTACCATTTCATGATGAGAACACTTAAAATTTACTCAATTTTCAGATCTAAACTGCACTATTAATTATAATCACATCCAAGGCATCACTGAAACTTCTTCCTGTTCCACTAAAAACGTGGTGCTTTGTGCAATGTGGTTACCTCCTCACCCATCCCTTCCGTGTCTCCCCATACTCACCACTCTACTTTCTTACCACCTCACTCTCTTAAACCCTCATGTGAGATTGTGCATTATTTGTCTTCTATGCTAGTTTATTCCACCTACCATATAGTTCTCAGTTCCATCTGTGCTGCTACAAGTGGTGGAACGTCCTTCTGAGTAGCGGTATGATGTTCCATAGCGCATGGGAACCACATATTCTGAATATAGTGCTCTGTTGCTTCCAGATTTTGGTCCCTGTGAATAATGCTGCAGTGTACAGTAGAGTTTAACTCTTTCTTTACCAATCAATTTCAGTTATTTTGCTATTGTGCTTAGTGGTGGGCTTGCTGAACCATATGTTAATTTTTTAATTTTTTGAGGAGCTGCCATTCTGTTTTACTTAATGGTAAAGTAAATGATATCCTGCAACTTTACTGAATTTATTAATCACTTGTAAAAGTTTTGGTGGCATTTTTAAGGTTTTCTCTCTCTCTCTCT